CATTTCAGCAGATTCAACCCATACTAGTTATAATGCAAATCGTTGGAAACGGTAAGACGCGAACTAAGAAATCTAAGCGACCATCAACCAGCAATGTATATCGATTCGATCGGCTTATCGATTATGGCCAATGCAACAGGCCAGCCAGCAAACCGACCTTACTAACAGATGATGTCCCTCAGTGTTTCGAAAGCTCAAAATGTACACATACTTCTGATAGATATCGTTGTACTGGTTACTCGCTGTTAGATGGTCACAAAGCCATCGAAACAGTCATTCTGCATTATTGCCGCTATTTTTTTCTTAATTGTTGTTGTTGCTTTTTTTAAAATTCTCATTCGGTTTTTAGGATGCTTGCTTGTCGTTATTTTAGCACTTTAAATTTTTAGCATTTTTAAAAAAGTGCTAAATATTTGTATGTCGTATGTCGTTATTACTGAGAGAAAGAGAGGATAAGAAGTAAAAGAACTGGCCCCCTATATCGGCCTTATTCTAAAGGTTGCATTGCCTCTCAAGTTATTTTTAGTTCAGTCCTGGTTTCGGAAATCCAAGAAGTGTCTAAAAATAGCCAATCCTGAGACACGAATTTTGCTCACGCCTTGGACAGCCTAAGCGGCTTAAGAAGTGAGTAAAATGAGCGTGCTAACACGATCCGCGTTAAAACTGGGTACAAATGTCTAAAAATAACTTGAGAGAGATTACTTTGGGAATGAGGCCTGCCTCCTTTCATCCTCTCTTACTGAAAACTGATAGGTGAAAATATTTCTAAGGAATCTCAGTTAACTGACTTACAAGGTGTTACTCAACAAGCGAAACGGGTTGTTCTCGGAGGAAATATTGGATACTCAAGCATTACAGACCTGTTTGTTAACTAATATATTGCTTCTTATACCTACCTAGTGTGTTTGTCGTGAAGCAGTATTGCCCAGGTACCATAGGGTGAACTTTCTTCAGCTTGTAAACAAAGAAGTCAGAACACTTTTTAACTTGTACTGGTAATGAATAATAACAACAATCTTTACGATAATTGAAACAAACTTGGCCTTGAACGATCCCAGCTTCACGCGACGGAATTTGACCGTTCAACCAACCAGGAGCCTGAACACCACAGCTTTCTTTCAACACACAAGAACTTGGCATAGCAGCTCCTTTATCAGCCCTGAACCATTTTCCTTCGTGGTAGTTTACGTGCAACACACTCCAGCGTTTCCATGTGCTGTCAGATTTGTAATCGCCTTTGAACAAGTAGCAAAGGAAATTTGGATCTGAAATCAAAATTAGGACAAACAAGTTTTCAGAACTGCAGTAACTTGAAAGAGTGCAACTGGAACTATATTTGGATATTCCGAGTAAAAGTCATAGTAAAATAAACCTCTCGAATGCAGTTGTCAAACTCGTCGTCAGCTGCTACACAATGTAATAGTATTGTAAGAAAAAACTAGCAATGTTTTTCATGATTATTGTTACTAGATTTATAGCAACTAATATCTCCTCTTTCTATATCATTAAAAGAAAGCTTTCAGACTTACCTTCTACTTTTAACGTGATATTGTATGATGCCTGGATCTCCCCTGTGCTGTTCACAATATCGCAGGTGTAAATTCCTTCATCAGTTTGCTGAGCAATGCTGATAAGCAGGCTTGCGTCGTTACCAGCGGTCTTCGTATGCAGTACAGCGCCATTTTTTCTCCAACGAACTGTTTTACCTTCCAAAGCATCGCATCTCATTTCTACTGTTTCACCGAGATAACCAGTTTGGTTTGAATTAGATCGTCCTGTAACCGTTTGGAAAAGTAAAGAAAATGTACTCAGTGTTAATGATCGCCTCACAGGGGATCTTTGGGGCACCTACTCGATTAGTTCTATAAACTATTTAGGTGTTGCAAACTCCACACAATCAACCTTGTATTAAAACTATTTGTCTTGAGTTCCCTTATTTTCTTTGCTTTCTGTCTTTAACAATTTATTTTTTAATCACAATTGTAAATTATTTCATTAATGCTATTTATCATCTTCTATATGTAATTTGTATACATTTATGTGTCTATTTTTTTCTGACACCTCTGTAAAATTAATGTTTGCGAGAGTTTAACTTAAAATTGAATGGAATTGAATTGAAGTTTAAATTTTCTCTCTTGTTCCCTCTTTATAAATTCTGTTCTGTCCTATGTTTCCGATGAAACATTAGAGATATTCTGTGCCCCCTCAAATTAATCCAAAAGATTTGTCTTGTTCATTTGAAATGTATGATATTCTATTATTCCCCCAAACCTTTGGAAGAACTTCGTTATTTTCTCGTGAAAAGTAGGTGAGAAGAGTATCAAATTCACTTCATTCAAAGAGTTAACGTCAGAAATGATTCGAAAAAATAAACTCACCTACAGTAAAACAAGACTGTTTGGCATCCTCAATCTCGAGTTCAGTTAAAGCTCTGTCATAAAGCTGTACGCACGAAATTCTCCCCTTATATTTTTCAGCTTTATCTGGTACGGATCCCATAATGACACTTTGTTGAGTTGCCAGCTCAGAAGGCGAATCAATGACTTTTTTCTTATTAATGCTCCCATTGATCCATAAAATGAACTCGCCACTGAAGTAGTTGCAAGTCGCGCCAACAAAATGCCACGTTTTAGGCTCAAGAATTTCACTACTTGCAGCTTCCATATAAGTAAAGTTTGAGCTACGTAACCGTGCGCGGAAACGGCTTTCTTTAGTTAGCTTAAACCAAATGCCGTTTTCTGGACCGTCATAATAGAAGATCGGACCTTCAGTTTGTTCGTGGTAAATCCAAGCTAAGAACGTCATCGAGTATCTGGTGTCCAGACCTCCGTTATTTGGAAAATAAATGAAGCTGCTTAAGTTTCCCGAGAACTGGTACGAGCCTCCTGCACTACCGTCCGGACCTGGCGCCAGTTCAACGCCAGACGCTTGTCCTGGAAGATTGTAGCTGTGACTGATGTCTGTTGTTTCGTATTGTCCGTTCAGAGGGAAAAAGGCCACAGGACTCAATGGAACTGAAAAACCAAATTCCGTAGTAGTTATTAAGGACCTTCGTGTGTTAGTAGTGAACGGGAAAAGGGCTGTGATCAATTAGCGACAGAATTTTTCTATCAGCATTGAGTAGTCCATCACCTGTTACTGCACAATTTGTGTTTTTTAGATTTCCCTTTAATTCACTAGAACTATCAATATTCCTGGATGGAGAGAGGCTCCTTGAGGAGACTAAATTTCACCCTAAAACTAAGCT